ACTACAAGGACTACTGCCCTGATCATAAGACATCTGTTTTCGGTGCGGGCTCCATTTGAGAGACAAAACGACTAACTTGGAGACCTTTTTGACCAAAACTGGTGCATACAGTCATTATCCCTTCGCAAGGGTGCATGAACAGGGCACATCATTAGTTGGCGATTTTGGCCAATCCGCACGATCCCCCTCCCCCCTCTAGAAGGTGGGTTGATACGTTCCCCCTCTCTGATACGAAGCTGCTGAGTGGGGGGTATCCTGATACGGTAAATGTCGCGAGTGAAAATGCGACCCCTTTTCTCCTACCCTACCCAACATTTTCCTAGATTTTCCCAATTTCCTACCACTTTTTCCAGTTTCTCCGGAGTTTCTCGAAGTGCCTTTTATCCTTTTTTCCCCCAAAAGTTTGCTGTCTGGAGGAAGAAGGAGGCGAGTGGAGGGGAAAGGGGGAGAACACATAGTACATGTGAACAGGATACCACGAAAATCGACAACTAAGCCGGAAGGCAGATAAGACCCCTCCCTTCTTTCAGTAACGATCAAATACGACCCCCCCCCTTCATGCCGTCCGTGGAGCAAGAAAAATCAACCACCAAAAAATTTTTTCTCGTACAAAATACGACCACCCCTGCCTGTTGGGGATTTTCTATTGATGATGTGCCCCGTGGTAAAGAGGTGGGGCTAGAACGTAGCCGGGCTTGCGGGCTCAGGACGCAACCAAAGCTTATAGTATGGTTGCTATTGCAAGCTATGCAGAGAGGTGAATGTCATCGAAACTGAATAATTACTAGAATCACAAGCTGGAAGTCGAGATTAAATTCAGTAGATGATCAAAAAAAGATGGACGGTGCTCAAGTATAAACGGGCCAGCGATTGAGAGTAAGCAATATTCCTGGAAAAAGAAGGGAGAAGCCTCTGTAAATAGGTAATGTGGAAGTAAACTTGTCAGACCATCCCGCCCCAAATGATTTTCCTGGCTAGGGGTTGCCTGCGAGATTTACAATAATAGTGGTCGTCATGCAAGCATAATAG